TATTATTAATATTTAATTAAATTTAAAAAATCTGTATCTATAAATAAAATATCTGATTTTTGAACATTTAAAACTTGAAATCTGAATTTTGCATTTGAATCTTGAAAAGTAGGGTTACTTGTAATTACCACTATAGCTAAATTCTGCTCATTATTATTCCATGCTTTTTCATATTTTTGTGCATGGCTCAATATATCAAAAAATCAAAGGAACTTATTTAAATTGTGTATATTGATAAAATCAAAGATTTTTCCAATCAAAACATTTTACATCATGATTTTTGTTTGATGTTTTTATTTACTTATATATCATATCTTTTAACCGATTAATATACCATATCAATGTTAGGTGTAGAAAGGTCCTACATCAGTAGACAGTAGTCATGGACATTATTATGAGCAATATTTAGAAATTTTATATTTACTTGAAAAATGATAAGAGGGTTGAATCGAGATCAAATTCAAATCGAATTGGGGGTAAACATTGCTAATATAAACAATCATTTAAAATGAATCCGTCAATTCTTGATTTGTTTTAAAGGGCTTTCATTTCATGGCCAAATTTCTTGTCCATTTTTTAGGTCGAACTGAGGAGTTCGGTTCAATTTTCAAAAAACATTGGTTGGGACCAAATCTATATCGACTGTCAGATCTTGCCATGCATCGCCCCTCTTCGACAACCATACTTTTCTAAATGGAGTTTTGAATAGTGAGTTTTAGAAGAATGCATGGTTAAAAAATATGAAAAAAATTTAGATTTACGTGCATAATGTTTTATTGTATGAATGTGTTGTTGAAAATTAGTATTTTAAAAAATATTTTAAAAGTATGATTGTCAAACAGGATTACAGGGGCTAAATCACAAAGGTATGCAACTTGTACAACTTATATTTAAAAAATGTTGTTATCAAAAATATTATAGTTCACTTGAATGACAACTCCGAAATTGGGGCATATTGCTATGAATTATGCTAAGTGTATATTTTATGAGTTACATCTTTCCATACATTATGTGGAAATTCAAAAAAAAGTGTTGGGCAGGAAAGTGTTTTTTTTTAACTGTTCAATCTTAAGCCGACGTGTGACATGATGTCAAAAATGATTTAAAACAAGATGTATATGTAGCACGAGTGCATTGCTATTACCTTGTGCAAATTACATTTTGTCATTTTGAGCCATGTAAAATTAGATTGACGTGATATCTCTATAAGGATGATTACGAGTAAAATTTCCTATATCCCATCTATAACATTGTATGGGAAGTCACATCATATAATCGATATGAAGTGATGTCATTGAGCTCAACTCGAGAGTCATTAAGATAATGTCATATGTCAAGCATCCAAAGAACTTCAATTACTTTTCATTGTCTACGCTCTTCTTATTTGTTTGTGTCACTCCCGCACTAGTTACTTTTCATTGTATGACTTGTGTATTTAAAATGTGTACGAGTGTAGCCTCTTGCGTCTTTTGTTGATCTTGTAGGGATATTCGGCGTTGAGCCTCTAACGCCTGAGTTTCAAGTGAGCATGTAATATACACATGGAGGAGAGAGGGTGTGAAATATGTTGATGCAAAAAAAAGAAAGCACAATGTGCAT